ATACATGAGATTTTGTAGGAGAGGATTTTTAAAAATAGAAAGTCTAAAGAAATGATATACTATATCATTATTAGTCTTCTCAATGCCATTGAGAGAGAAAGTTTGCAAGATTAGGTGAAGCACTCGTCTTCAATAGAGAGGAGAAATGATGCCTAATGAACACATTTTAGAGCACTTTGGAATAGGTCACCAGTAGACTCAGTGGCCCATGCAGACTCATTTGATATGTAACAAAAAGAATTCTTAGTTTACTTTATAAACTTTTTGGGAGTTCATCTTATCATAAAGAAAATCATCATAAAATATGTAGAAAATGCACTGCTTTGGAATTGCTTTTCATTTTCCAGACATGAGACTTCGGAAAAGTCATTTAGCCTATCTGATTCTTAGTTTTTCTCACTATGAAGTATGTATATGTAGTTAATTTTGCCACATAACAAACAACCCCCAAAACACAGTCACTTACAATAACACATTTATTCTCACTCAAGACCCACATCAGCTGATGTGTGGCTCAGCTGCAGCTCTGCTCCAGCTGGGTTCCACGTTTCTTACTCTCAGACCCAGGCTGAAAGGAGATCTCTTATATGAGGCATGCTTATTATCATGGCTGAAATAAAGGGCGAGAGAGCTGGTGGATGGATGCCTCTGACAGCTTCTGCACAGTCCTGGCATAGACTGTGGCCACCATCATTCTACTGGAGAATCGCTTAGCAAAGGTCAGCATCAGTGGAGCAAGGAAGTGTACTCCTCCCACAACCAGCTGGCAAATCTCGTAACCCTCTTACAGAGAAGGTAAAAATGAATAAGAAAGGATAACAATATCTACTTATCTCTCCAAACCTTTATAAGTGTCAAATAAGAAAAGTTATATAAAAGAGTATTGTAACCTAATGAATTCTCTACTAATGTAAGAAGTGCTATCATCATTGAACAGTGCCTTTTAATGTTATTTATTTCAGGGATCCAGATACATTTCAAGTCCTTATATATCATTAAAACCCACCACTTCTCCATTCTTACCACAAACCTTTATAAAGCTTTTAACTGTCTCAGTTGTAGTTTTTTAAAAGCTATGTACTTTGCTTTTTTGCATTCATGTTTTAAAAATGCTATAATTATAATCATTTATATTTATTTTCTGCTATAACTATATTAAACCTCTTTTAAGAACTTCTTGGACATCTAGAAGGTTATTATATTTTCTTCCCCTGACAATTAAAGTGACAAAATTCCCTTGTAGGAAATTAGAAAATTTTGGAAGGGTAAAGAACAAATTTTAAAGCATCCATATTCAAATCTCTGTTGTAATACACACACACATACGTACACACATTCCAATATATACAAGTACTAATTTTTACTAAATTGAACACCTAATGAATATACTCTTTTGAGAGTGTTTTCTATATGTTGTTGGCATACATTTTTGCTGATCATGAAATATTTTTTGAGAACATGAACTTAACATTTTAATATTTAATATTAACATGTAATATGCAATACATATATACTGATGGTCCCTGACATATGATAATTTGATAGGATTTTTCAACTTTACGATGGTACGAAAGTGATATGCATTCAGTAGAAACTGTACCTCAAGCACTCGTACAACCATTCTATTTTTCACTTTCAGTACAACAGTCAATAAATTACAGAGATATTCAACACTTCGTTATAAAATAGGCTTTGTGGCCAGGCATGGTGGCTCATGCCTGTAATCCTAGCACTCTGGGAGGCTGAGGCAGGAGGATCACTTGAATTTAAGAGTTCGACATGAGCCTGAGCAAGAAGGAGACCCCATCTCCACTAAATATAGAAAAAATTAGCCAGGCATGGTGGTGCCCATCTGTAGTCCCAGCTACTAGAGAGGCTGAGGCAGGAGGATTGCTGGAGCCCAGGAGTTTGAGGTTGCTGTGAGCTATGATGATGTCACTGCATTCTAGCTGGGGCAACAGAGTGAGACTTTGTCTCAAAGGAAAAAAATAGACTTTCTGTCAGATGCTGTTACCCAACTATAGGCTTATATTAGTGTTCTGAGCATGTTTAAGGTAGGCTAGGCTAAGCTATAAGCTATGATGTTTGGAAGGTTAAGTGTATTAAATGCATTTTCTACTTAAGATAGTCTTAGCTTATGATGGATGTATTAGGGTGTAACCCCATCATAACTAGAGGAGCGTCTGTAATTATGTAGCCCAATAATAAAACAAACCCACTCCTCAACTTGAGAACTAAACCATTGCAATACCTTTAAAGTTACCTGTGTGTTCCCTGCTGTCACCCTGTCCCACCCATGGTAACTACCACCCTCAAGTTTGCATACTATCATTGGCTTCTTTCCTTCTTTTTATTTTTAAATTCTTTTTGTAAACAGTTTTCAGAATTTTTTTTTTAGTGTTTTCATATGCTTTTCTCCAAACAATGTATCACTGAGTTTTGCTTACCTTTGAGCTTTATATAAATGGTATCATACTACATTATTTTTAGTAGTGGAATGAATCTTACAAAATTTGTTTAAACTGGTCTCTACTGTTAGATATTTAGAAAGTTTTCTGCTGTTTTACAAAGACCTTGCACATTAATCTTTGTATGTATTCCCAATTATTTCCTTAGGAATAATTTGTAGAGGTGAAATTGTTGGGTTAAAGGGTAAGAACACTTTTAAGGCTTTTTTTTGTAACTGTACATCAGGAAATGTGTTCATCTAGAAGATTTTAATAAAACAAATAGATTTGCCTGGCAGATAATTATAAATCATTACTAGCTTTCCACTTTAATGGTCTATAAGAATATACAAATGTTCCAGTGGCTTATCAAATTTAATAAGTACAATCTCAAATTCCTCAGCATTTCTGACTTCTCTGAAGGCTATTCCGTTCTTGTCACTCTGTGGCATTAATATTCCCTCAGTTCCTCAGGCTAGAAACCTTAAAGACACCTTCTCTCCACTTCCACACCTCTATTTCAGTCACCCACGCTCAGACTTCCCCTCAGTCTTCGAGTTCTGCTAGTTCTACCTCTGCAATGTCCCTTGACTTCCATTCTTATAAGCACTGCTCTATTTCAAATCCTGCTAATCTATGGAATGTGGACCATTCCACAGCCTCCTAACTGGAGGCTACTCATGCTTCCAGGTTCCACAGAAATACTAGCTCCTCCATGGAATTGTACATCAATGTAAGTTATCATAGTTATACATCAGTGAGTCCAGAATGGTTGCTTCTCTCATAATGTTTTGAATGTTGTTACATACCAAAAATACATTTATAAATAATGCTGGGTAGAAATAGCAGAACGAAAACTATTTTCAACACATCCATTATGATAGATAAAATACTATATATGTATAGATATATATGTGTGTATATGTATATGTGTGTGTGTCTTTCTACATACATGTATATGGAGGGAAACAGAGGCAAAGACAGAAACAGAGGCTGTTAGGAAGACAGGGAAGCCATGTAAATACTTGAGCCTGGTATTTATTAAGCCCTCTGAAATTCTTTTTGGAACCACACAGGATGAATACTTTTTCAAAATTTTAATAATATTACGATACTTGTTAGGTTCATTTTCTTTCATAAAGATGCTTACTTGGGCCTTACTAGGTTTCCATTTTGAGACTTAACCATATTTGGTCCAGTTGCAGGCGGCCAGCTACTTGCTCCTCCTTCCTGTTTCAGTGTTGGCCAGCTAAGTTAGAGGGGCCTTGTTCTCTTGCCAAATCTTTCTACGCATAGTCATAGGTGGTGAACATCCCTTCAACTGTAAAATGAAAACATTATAATAGATGATTGTTAAATGGAGAAGTAGATGATCTCTAAGTTTCTTTCCAGCTCTCCCATTCTGAAATACTTTTTGCTCATTGAGACAGAAAAATGCTTAAGGTTAAAGGAAAGTACTGATTTGCTTTCTGCTCTAGCACCCTCACTAGTGTCAGGTAACAAGTTGCCCCTTTTCTTAACTCTGAACTGCCAGTATGTGTTGTAGGGAATTAGTAGTACATTTGGCTTCTGATGCAGGTACACCACTACCTCTGTGGCCTTGGGTGTACCCTCTTCTGTCACCCAGGCCTCTGCTTATCTGTAAAATTACAAGGGTGAGACTAGATGCTTTTTGAGGTTCTTTGTACCTTTAGTATATTATTTAGGATTTTTTTACCCTGTAGTCACTAGCCCGTTTTAAAGTTAAGAAATAGGTAGAATGGGACTATTCACAAAATATTTTTCTCTTCACAAAATAGTGTAGATAGCAAAGTGGAGCATCAGCGTGTACAAACAGATATAAGCAATTAAGAAATGTCCTAATTCCATTACTTACTTCAACTTATCATATTTTTCTCTTCTGATGGGTATTTCTCAAGTCTTTTAAAATTATTACTTTGTAGTAATATAAACTGGAATATTTTGAATATATCTTGTGGAAAATTAAAATGGTGTAGATTTCAAATATGCATACTAATTCAGATCTGTCTAGTAGTAGTAGACAATGTTTCAAAATATATGAACTCCAGTGATCATTATAGACTTACTTTATTAAGAAAGAGACTCAAAAGAAGAAGAAGAGGGCCCCATTTTAATTTCTAAGGGACAAACTAATCTTTGATATATGATGTTTGAGTTCAGAGTTGCTTCTGGCAAACATAATTGTTACTGCTTAAACAAGTATTTCTTTTCTAGTAATTAGAATTTTTTCTCATTTTGATGGGTAGTCATAAATATTAACCACCAGCACTGCAGGAATAATTTATATTCACATTGTCAGACATAACTCTGTGAACATATAAAATAATTTACATTTATTTAGAACCTTTTATCCTAAAGTGCTCTACACATATTTCTTTATAATCTGATTACAAGCTATACCTAGGACTCTCCTACCTGCAATAGGACAGCAACAAAAGTAATTAAGATAAAGGACACAACTTCACAAAAAGTAGACAAAAGAAGGAAATGTAGTATTTTTTACTTTGTTCCTATATGCTCTTATGCCTGTAGGATTGGAGAATCCATGTTGACCAAATGCACCAGCACAAAAGTGGAATTGAATCTGCTCTAAAGGAGACTAAGGTATGTGAATTACTTCAGATAAAACAATATATATTTACTCATCCATAGAATATGCATTATGAGAGAACATGAAAAAAAGATACAATTCTTGTGTTTCAGGAGCTTACTAATTGAATGTACCATATTACATTTCAACATCCCTAACACTTAAACCAACTAAAGAAAGCTACCTTATATAAAAGCCGTATATGTGTGTGTGTGCGTGTGTGTGTGCGTGTGTGTGTGTGTGTGTGTGAGAAACATGTCATTATTCTTTTCCTCTCTGAATCCCAAGGGATGAGAGAACACCGGGCCAGCAATGCCCAGACCTGCAGCTTCCCCAGGCTTGCTGCCCTGCCAGAAATAGGGATTTCTGGAGGATGCCACAAAGAAGGACAGGAAGAGGGGAGAAGTTTTCGGTCCCAGGCTAGGGCTATAGGTTTAGGGATCTGCTTTCAACTGAGATATTCCAGTCATCTTTGAATGGTGTTATAAGAAATTCATGTTATTCCTTTACATACTTTTTGAACTATATATAAAGCTAATTACAATCACATAAATTTTAGATATGCATATTGACAAATGAATTGACTAATACTACCAGGTACATTTTTATTTTAATGTTCTATAAAGTGTGAATAAAATATGTCTCTCTGTCTTTTTTTTTTTTTTTTTTGAGACAGAGTCTCTCTCTGTTGCTCTGTTGCCCAGGCTAGAGTGCCCTGGCATCAGCCTAGCTCACAGCAACCTCAAACTCCTGGGCTTAAGCAACCCTCCTGCCTCAGCCTCCTGAGTAGCTGGGACTACATGCACGTGGCACCATACCCAGCTAATTTTTCTATTTTTAGTAGAAATGGGGGTCTCAGTCTTGCTCAGGCTGGTCTTTAACTCCTGACCTCAAGTGATCCTCCCACCTTGGCCATCCAGAGGGCTAGGATTATAGACGTGAGCCACCATGCCTGGCCTTAAAATATTTCTCATCACAGACATTTTTTGCTATTGAAAATTTCAAACTACCTTCTTTTTCACATGTGGTTGATCATTTGTAGAATGAATTGAGAGAGAGTTAACCCATTTTTAACTGTTTTTGAGACATTTATTTGTGAGTTCTTTTCTCTACTAAAATCCTATGGAATTTTTAGGGATTTTTGGACAAACTGCATAACGAAATCAGTAGGACTCTGGAAAAGATCGGCAGCCGAGAAAAGTACATCAATAATCAGCTTGACCACTTGGTTCAAGAATATCGTGCAGCTCAAGCCCAGCTGAGTGAGGTAATTCAAGAATGATTTTCATGGATTTATTCTAATTAATGACCCTAAACCCTAAACTTGACACAACAATTTTCATTTGAGAATCATGAAATGCTTTTCATAAACAACACATCAATTCTCTGCCCACTTAGAAAGCCAAGCAAGCCAAGTAAACTTATCTCCATTTTACGTGTAATAGAAATTGTTATCTCCTAGAAGTCTTTAAATATTCTTTTTCATTAGATTTAAGTAAATGAAGGTGTATACTGTTGGGGAACATGGCTGAGAATATGAACAAAGTGTCAGGACACCTGGTTTTGTTTCTGGAACATGAAAGCAAGACACATTCAGAGACAAGCAGTTTAATTAATGAGTCAAATTTTTCATTCAAATAAAATAAAACCACTAGGCTTAGAAAGTACCAATTCTTTATCCCAAGGGTAGGGATCTAATAGCTTTCCTTTGTGATTATGTTTCCTATTTCCTGATGGTAAAGACTAGTAAGAACACTTGCAAACATCAGTTGAAGGCATATTTTTTTCTTACAGCAGGCAAAGTTAGAAGGAGAAAAAAGTGGAAACAAATTTGGGATACTTCTGTACTTTCAGAAGAAAGTAATCTTTACTTTTTTATTATATTATTCATTTATTATTCCCTCATATACACATTTATTCATGAATATTTTTACTTTAAAAATGCTATAAAATTTTCTGATTAAAACCACCATGTATGTCTAACATTAATATTAAATAATTGTTCGTTTCCAAGAACATATTCCAGTTGATTGTACTGTCATACTGCTTGTTAATCCTTATTAATTGCTGAGCCTGATGCTTTACTTTGATTGATTTTTTCTTTTTTTAGAACTGATTTTCTCTGCATAGCATGCAAATTAGATTGACCAAGAGCCACTCTCCTAAACTGTTTAGGAATGACTGAGGACAGTTTTTATTGTGAACCATGCCCATGTGAGTTAATAGTCAGTTATGAAGGTTAAGGTAGTTCATCATTCTGTAGTGCTTTAGTTAAATACTTGGTGCCTAATAGGGACATAAAATCGCTGCAGTTAAATGTCACTTTCACGAATGTATTCACAAACAAGGATGGGGGTTGTCATAAAATGATATGCAAAAATTACAAACACAAAGAGGTCATATTTAAGTAATCTGCTTCTGTTTTGAATTTTTCATTAAACAAAATGTTTTTCCCCTCAGGCAAAGGAACGATACCAGCAGGGAAACGGAGGAGTAACTGAAAGGACCAGACTCCTGTCCGAGGTGCACACCCTGCTCTTGCCATGCTTCTCCCCTGTCAGCTGGGCTCTTGCCCTTCAGAGCTGGCAGATGGTCTAATACTGCTTATTCCAATTGCCTTCTGTGCCCTTAAATCATTTGCTTTAGGAGAAAATCCCTAATTTTCTTATCAATGAATCAATTATTTATTAATACATTTCTTGTTTCCATGAGATGCCTGAAGTTGCTGTATTAAATTCAACATAAAACCTGCTTATAATATTAGCACACTTATAACCTTCCTTAATCTTTATTTTTTTACATAATAATTATAATTAATATAGAGAATAGTAAGTAAAGCACTGGCTTAGGGAATCTATAACAAATTTTAATGTTAGTGTGCAAGATATAAGGTTTATTTTTAATAATCGTTGTTGGTAACTTATGTGTGATACTGGATATGTTTCTGTACACAATTGGGAATGGCTTATAACCTCCCCCTTCCGAGAACTTGTAGAATATTTCCATACATTGTTGCATTTATTTTCATGATCTTGCAAGAGAGGTAAGACCTGACATATATTCTGATTTTTCTCTGGAGGGCAAAGGGGGTATAAAGCCTTGCAACAAGGTCAGTAGCAATTCAGGACTATAATCTAAGATGGTCTTTGGCTGCAATCCAGTATAATTGCCACAAACTTTCCTGTTTTGACAGGAAAGAATTGAGCTTCTTTTATAGAGATTATTTGAGGAATAAATAGTTATTTTAAAATACTAAACATATAACATTAGAAATATTTAGACTCTAATCCTGTGGTGCTTCTAGGCAAATAAAACGGTATGTAGAAGTAAAGTGCTCACTTATGTTAGGTAAATTAACACTTGAAGGGAATCCAGGGAACCATTTAGTTCTTTTGGAGTAGATAGTTACCCCCATTTGTAACGTTTCAGGTGCCTGAAAAAAATTAATTTGCTTTACTTGGATGAGCACTTTATTCCCAGGGAAGGTTTTACTCACCAGTATGATAAAAATAAAGCCTACTAAGTTACAATAATTATAGCTTAGTTCTAGATCATATAAAAAAATTTCAATTTTTTAAAGATGGTATTTTTTACCTATATTAATACCGGTTGTGAATTTTTGCTAATAATACAGTCTATAGTAGTATAATCTTGACATAGAGTGTAGGTAAGAACCAGTGTGACAACATAGTATGTCTCTTGACTTTGGAAAAGTTCGTGGTTTGGATAAAGCAGTAGAACATTTTTATATGTAGCCATGTGATATAAACTTTTTTTTTTTAGTGTTCTAAAGAGGAAAAGGTGACATAGTCTCTTATAGAACTATAATACCTAGAAAACCTTTAGAAATCCAAAATCTCTTAGGATGTTTATACCATTTTAATTAATAACTGATCATTAGAGAACGACACGGTGGATGCCATGAGATAATTGCAAGATTTGAGTGCCTTGTGCCTGAAACAATTTTGACTGTTTTTGTTCTATTATGTCACAACCTGAGAAATCTTATGTGAAAGTAATTTGGGAAGTTTAACATTAGGGGCATTCTCAGAAGAGGGAAAGCTTTCTATATCTGCATATTTTATCTTACTATTTGAATTATGTCCAGAATAGTCCTAATATCTTTATTCCCCTTTATGTATGTCTAATATCTAAATTAAAATTTCTCAATATATCATTCAAAAATTTTGAAAGTTTATTAATATTCAGTGCTTATAAAAACTTTTTTCTTAATGAAAGGTTACAGAAGAATTAGAAAAGGTAAAACAAGAAATGGAAGAAAAGGGCAGCAGCATGACTGATGGTGGTGAGTACACGCTCATTTTGAGGACAAGAAGTAAGCAAGAGAAAAATAGCTCTTTAAGAAACCTTTTTACACAAAATAGTACTAATAAATAGGGACTTTACATTTTAAAATGAATTATTTGTTACTTGTTTGAAGAGAGATGGTAAAAAAAAATGATGTGTGATAATCAGTATACTGTTTTCCTTGTAAATCAGCTGAGAAGAGTAATAATTTTTGTTACTATAATTCAGGGTGTTTTTAAATTCAAACTGTATTGATTCAAAAATAGAGTGGGGAAATATTTAAATATGTGCTTTGCTATGCCAATTTAAAAAAATAATGTTTTATTCTTTTTTCATAAAATTAGCTTCATTTTTCCATTTTATGTATGAAAGGGCACTAAGTATGTATGCCCAAATGACACTAAGGCAGGGATGTGGTGACCTTTGTTTTGTTTTCCCCTCCCCAGTAGACTTGACTGGGCAGGGGTCAAACAGAGAAGAATTAATAATCCTCCGTAATCATCCTCCATTGTGAGCTGGTTACTTTTACATGGCCAGTGGTGATTGCCTAACGCTTTTCTATGCCCCAGAAAGATTGTCTGGAGTTCTGATGATATATAATGAGTGATCTTGCAAAAGGGGATGTGTAGGGCTTTTTTGGCAATGTTTTTTAAATGGGTCCGTTATCTGTATTTCGAAGGTAATCCTCTCTTCCCCCTTTTCCCCTTTGTATCCACTTTTCCTACAGACACATATACTAGCCCATAAAATCATCTTGAACACATCCTAAACACCTGTTTAGCAGTTCTGCCCCTATAATAGGAAGAACTTTTAGCCTTAGTACATCAAATACTGCATCATTTTCCATCCTAAAAATCTCAGGTGCTTAAAATGCCACAGCCAAAACCATGTGAATGTCAGTGAGTTGTTGGCTCCATTTTTAACCTGTTTTTGGCTTAAGACAAAGTGAGGAAAATGTCACACGACTCTGTAATACACTGATACTCCAATGAACGTTTTGATTCCATGTTATTTTCATTCTGTAGCTCCTTTGGTGAAGATTAAACAGAGCTTAACAAAACTGAAGCAAGAAATTGTTCAGATGGACATTAGAACCGGTGTTGTGGAACACACGTTACTCCAGTCAAAACTGAAGGAGAAGTCCAACATGACCAGGGACATGCATGCGACAATTATTCCAGAATCAGCAATAGGCTCTTATTAAAACATGCTGTTTTTCATGCTTCTGATTAGTCGGTTTTTTATATCAAATTCTATTTCATGTTGCAGAGATTTCAAAACACACACTACACTTCTTAAAGCATGTTCAATGGGTATTTTTTACATATATACACACATATATTGTATCATGGTGATTATGATGGTTAAAGCCTTTACATTGAATATAAAGTTTAATAAAGTAATTAAAAATTCTTACTTTCAAAGAAGTTTCATTAATTATTACCTATGTCAAAGCTCCCGCCTAATGGCTCATTTTTCCTAGTGGTCCTTGCATCAGCCAATGTATGTGACCCATACTTTCTGTAGATGCTGCCGCTGTCGCCACATGCACTGCTGACACAGGCCTTCACTTTGCTCCACCTCTGCGGTGATTACAAGTGCTTTTGTGCCCAGAGGCAGCTAAGGATAGGTGCCTCCCTAATTTATTCTGCTGCTTGAGGGTAGAACAAAATCTTTTTTATTTCCATATTCTTAACCAAGTACACAGTACATAGAAAGTGGCCAGTTAATTTTTTTTTAGTATGTAGATGAGTAGATTACTGGCATTATACAGTTCCACAGTATCTTCTAGCTCCTATTCTATAGCATGAAGAATTTAATGACTTTGACCCTGAGTGCTTGGTATAGTTTCAAGATAGTAATTAAAAATTATGGTTTTTTTCCTATGGTATTAGATTGGAATTGGAAGCATCAGTACGAATTCATGGGGTTTTTAAAATATGTATGGGTTAATATAAACATAGAAATATAAGTGTAGAAATGAACACACACACACACATACATACATGTATTTCCTAGTTCTGTCCTCTGAGAGAGCCTAGAAGCAGTGACAGCCCAACAACTGTGTACATTACCTAGTACTCAGATCTTGGTGTCTAAATTCTCTACTTTAAAAAAAACACAAATTTTTTAGAAAAATGGCTGATTCCTGCACTGGGGCAGGGAAAGCACAAGATGAGCCTAAATTATCTTGCTTTGCCAGGAAATAAGAAAGTACTCAAAGAAAGATGGGGAAATGGCTAAAGGACAAGCCTGATTGAGGGGTATCCCATCAGCCAGTCTGGGGCAATTTGAGCATCAAAGTGAATCATCACGATAATGAATTATAATCCATAGAATAAGAAACCATGAGCCCATACAGATATAAATGAATGAATGAATGAACAGGGGGATGATAAAGGTCTTCCTTACAATAGAATGACAGCTCAGGTAAAAGCAATGCCGGATTTAGAAAATCACCACCTGGCACCTATCAGAGTATTATAGTAATTGTTTTAGGCAAGAATCATGAATGGATGCTAAAAATAGGTGAAAGTTTAATGAGAAACATGATATTTATAATGCATAATCTCAATGTATGTGAAATACTCCATAAAGGAAAAAATTATAACTTTACAGTAGAAAAATCTAGCAGACACCACTGTAAGTGATCGAAGTTAACATCACCAATAATGAGAAAAATAGACATCAAATGCCTTCTGAAAAGGGCACACACTCACCTTGTTCCTGCTGAAAATGAATAACCTGAATCCGATCATGAAACATCAGATGAATCCAAATTGAAGGATTTGTACAAAATGGCCTATATTCTTCAAAAATGATAATGTCATGAAAAACAACTACTAAGGAACTGTTCCAGAGTAATGGAGACAAAAGAGGCATGACAACTAAATGCAACAAGGAATTCCAGATTAGACCCTGGGCTGGGCAAAAATAATAATAATAATATATAGTTATAAAGGACATTATTGACACAACAAGGAAAATTTATATACAGTCTATAGATTGGAAAATAGCATTAATGTTAATTTCTTGATTTTTATATTTGTGCTTTAGTTACATGAGAGAATATCCGTGTTTTTTAACAATACAAGTATTTGGTTCTAAAGGGTATCATATCAGCAATTTACTCTCAAATGACTCAGGAAAAAAAATTTTGTGTGTGTGTGTGTGTGTGTGTGTGTGTGTGTGTGTGTATTCACACATATAAAGAGAGAGGGAGAATGATAAAGAAAATGTGGTAAATTATTAACATTTTAGTAATCTGGGAGAAGGCTATACTGAAATCCATTGTGTTTTTTTTTAACTCTTCTATACATATGAAACTATTTCAAAATAATAACGTTTCAAAATACAAAGATGATATTCTCAGTATAAAAAATCAGCCTCTCAGAATCAAATAGCTAATCAAGTTGTTGAAACAGTGTGACCGCCCCAACAAAGTTCTGTGGCCCATTGAACAAAATTTAAACTTATAATTTTATAATCATTGACACAGGCCAAGTTGCACAACTTTTTGAGGACTTTAAGGATATATTTTTCTACTTCCCTCTAATTTATCTAGGTCAGCATTTCCCATGAGTTTTACACAAAAACGAAAGGTTTTGTAATCAGAGAAGTTTGAGAAATGTCAAGTTTCATCTTCTTCAGTATTTTCTGTCTACATTGTGAATCTATAAGCAGCGAATGTAGTTCCCTTATTTTTTACAAACATATAGTCATCCCCTGGTATCTGTGGAGGATTGATTCCAGGAAGCCCCCATCCCAAGGACACCAAAATCTGAGTATGCTCAAGTCCCTTATATAAAATTTCTCAGCCCCCTTCCCCTCAATTCTTATTTCATAGGCTTGGGTGGGACTAGGGGTGGGATCAGAAATTTTAAAAAGCTCCTCAGGTGACCTCGATGCAGCTGATCTAAAGTTTACTTTAGGGAGCCAAAACATCTAGAAATTTTGCCTGGCTATGAGTAAACAAGATCTGAAAAGGTCTTTAAAGAGGATCTAAATTAGTGTTTCTTAAAATATGGCCTGTGGATTACCTTAACACTAGCTCTACCTGGGAGGATTTTTAATAAGTGCCCTAGATGACTTGATACATACTGGAGTTTGAGACATAATAATATCAAAAATTGTCACTTTAAAAATCAGAAAACCAGAGCCCACGAAGAGTAAGCGGCCTGCCCATTTATAAAGCAGAATAACAAACTGTGCAGATTCCCAAAAGGTTTTCAGTGTAGCTTGGAGCAGCCCCTTAAGAACTTCATATCCACAGCTCCTGTCACCCATCCTTTCCGTCTGTATCCCAAAGCAAGATTATACGCTCATGGTTCTGATCATGTCCAGTGACTTTTTCCCCCTACTCCCTCTGTAAAGGCTTGTGCATAGAATACTGCACCAGGAGTCCAGATACCTTAATTCTAATCCCAAATTTGCTGGTAGAAGGAAAAACCGTTTTTTATATTCACAACAATTCTGATACCAAACGTGTGGAGTTTTTTCACACCAACAACCAATTCTCTAATTCTTTGCACACCAACTATGTGTATAACAGTTCAATTCAATTCTGACACTAAATACCCAGAATGAGCACAGACCCCACAGGCGAGGGGCTCAGCCCCACAAGACTGCCCCCGCTCCAGACACCAATCACAAGTCTGGGCCTTCTACACTTCTGGACAACCGGCTATAGATTGCAGATTCCCTTGACCTCCTCCTCGGGTTTGATAACCTCACAGAACTCAGAGAAACCCTTCACTTATGTTTACCATAAGAATACAGGTGAACAGCCAGATGGAAAGTATAATGCACAGGGCGAGGTGCTGGAAAGGGTGTGCAGCTTCCACACCCTCTTCAGGCAGGCCACTGTCCCCGCACCTGCATGGGTTCACCAACCTGGAAGCTATTTCTATTCATGCCCCGTGACTTTGTCCCCCCTACTCCCTATGTAAAGGCTTGTGCATAGAACACTGTGCCAGGAGTCCAGGCACCTTAATTCTAATCTTCATTTAGGGTTTTCTTGGAGGTTCCATTACACAGCCATGATTGATCAAATCGTTTGTCATTGATGGTTGCACTCAAGCTCCAGCCCCTCTGCCCTCCCTGGAGGTCAGACGGTGGGGCTGAAATTTGTTCTCTCTAATCACATGGTTGGTTCCTCTGGCAATCAGCCCCTGCCCTCCAAGAGACTCAGGTATGATGAAAGGGGCTTATGATGAATAAGAACAGATACTCCTCTCATCCCTATCACTCAGGAAATTACAAGGGTTTTAGGAGCTCTGGGCCAGGAACTGAAGACAAAGACCAAATACATATTTATTTTATCACAATATCACAGTAACCTCCTGCATGACTTTTAGGATATCACGTATCCTCAGTTTAATCTTTTCTTCGGCAAGGTTAGGGGCAGGACTAGAATATTCTGCGTGCTTTCAGTCCTAAAATCTCATGATTTAAAATGTTTAGTGGGCTCTCTTCACGGTTTATGATAACTTACAACGGTGTGCTGCAGTCAGCTCTTACCATCTCCAAAGAGCAGGTTGTCAGGTAGTCAGGCACTTGGAGAGCCGTTTGTTAAACAGTTGGTATCTTAAAACCAGCCCATGATGGTACTACTGTCTTTACATCATGGAAATAGGAAAACACTACAGATCAGGACTTTAAAAAACAAAAACACAACAAAAAAGAGCCAGTTTACCAGCATACCACTGATAACAAGTGTTAAATTGTTCCACAGACCAGAACCAAATATAGTAAATATATAACAGAATGTTCTACCATATTTTAAGGTAGATTATTACAGCACTAATTGAATTAGACCAGATTTGTAAATTGTTCTCAAAAATCGTTAAGTCTACATAAAGCCACTTGGTGTGTCAAATGTGCATCCCCTGCACAATTTTATTGATATTCCTTTACTGCCTTCCTATCACCAGTTCCTTTTTACTGCTTCTCAAATCGATAGGCTAAAACAGCCCAAGCTTCTTCCTACACCATAGATTCAAATCTCATGTTTGTACAACTGAAATAATGTAGAATGCACAACTAGTCCAATTATATGACCATAAAAAAACTAATTCAGCTCACTGCATCATTGATCCATTTAATTGTGTAGCAGCTTTCTATTGATAACAGGAAATATCCCTGACCTGACCATGCTGAAAATGAAACTGGCCAGTTTCCTACAACCATAAATTCAAATAAGGATTCTACATAATACACCGCCTAAAAATCATAGCCAGAGTTTATTAGGTTTTTCTTGGTTTTATTGACCTGTTTGCCTTGCATATCATCTGATTTGCCTTATGCTTCCTGGACTTTGTTTGTCATTAAATGATAGCCTATACTTGTAGTCATGACTGGATATTTTACTGCAGATAGTGATTGTGATAAGTTTTAGGCCATCTATTCATTTGA